GGGGGGGGGGTGTGTGTCTGAGATCTGAGAGGACATGGGGAAAAACAGACCTGTGCTGGGGACCCAGGGGGGGGCCCTGGCCTTGCTCTGGGGGTTCTGAGATCTCTGAGGACCCTCTGGCTTGGTGGTGGCGGCATCAGGGGCTTTGCCTTCTCAGTGTCCTCCCTTCCCTGACCTGCTCCAGGATGTGGCCATCGGACTATGAGGATAGTGGGTGGAAGCCCTGCGAAGGAGAAGTGGCCCTGGCAGGTGAGCCTGCGGATCAATGACATACACGTGTGTGGAGGCTCCCTCATTGCCAATCGGTGGGTGCTGACAGCGGCCCACTGCGTATTTGGGTGAGTGTTCCAGACTCCAGGCTCGGGCTCCTGGTCAGGCTGTGGGACCCGGACCGATCCTATCCCTCTCCCTGAGTTTTCACCTTCCCATCTGGTAAAGGGTCACAGTTCCTGCTCTCCAGGTTACAGTCAGAGGTAGGTGACACTAGGGCCCTTGGTAGCTGGGAAAGTCAAGATCCAAAATGAGGCTGAATGCTAACTGCTCTTAAGCCAGTGCTAATTAGCCTTCCCCAAGTGGCAAGAAGGGGGAGAGATGCCAGTGGGAGGCAGTGTGTGGGCACAGACTTGCAAGGGGGAATATTTAAGGGGAGTTGGGTGCAGTGGACTGATTTGGCTAGATCAGTGGTCTCCAACTCTAATGGGCCTAGAATCACCTAGATTCTAGGTGATTAATGGACCTAGAGCTCATTAACACACAGATTGCCTGTCCCCAACCCCCAGAATTTCTGATTCAGTAGGTCAGGAGTGGGACCCCAGAATTTGCATTTCTGACAAGTTTCCATGTGATATTGATGCTGCTCATGTGAGGACCAAACTTGGAGAACCACTGGATAGAGTGGCCAGGGGTCTGGGGAAGGGATGTGGTTTGGAGGGCAGGAAGCGGCTGATGGCTGGCACTGGAGATAGGACCAGGGTGGGGAAAAGCTAGAACCCATGGAAGGGATTAGAGACTCTCCAGGATCTCTCTGCAGCCACTGGGAATACACGGTGATGATAGGAGACGTACACCTGACCACCACCTCCAAGATGGCAGTCCATGTCCCAGTGAAAGACATTGTTATCCACCAGAATTATAGAGCTTCCGTAACAATCCAGAATGACATTGCGCTCGCCCTGCTCGAGTTCCCTGTGAATTACTCCTCGCACATCCAGCCTGTGTGCTTCCCTGAACAGGCTTTCATGGTGCAAGCTGGTACGAAGTGCTGGGTGACTGGATGGGGAAAAGTGAGGGAAACAGGTGAGACTGTGAAGGAAATTCAGCCCAGGGAAGGGGCTGCTGGTGCCCTGGGGTTGTCCTACAGGCTAAAGGGAGACACAGGGAGGCAGTTTTCTAGCAAGTAGGTGAGGGAGAAGGGTGGGGAGATGCTGCTAGGGAGTAATTTGATGGTGCTGCAAAGTTCTGTTAGTATGTTGGGACCTAGGGCCTTGGGTGACAAGCAAGGTGGCTTTTAGTTGGGGTGGTGGTGTAGATTTGTCTGTTAATCTGAGCTGCGCCAAATTGGAAGTACTTGCCTTGGTGCTTAGAGAGTTTTCTTCGAGCGAGAAGAGGCCAGAGAATGCCTCTGGGAGAGATTGTAGGGACTCCTGTCCCTGGGGAGTGGCTGGCTTTGGTACGTTTGGGGCACTTTCTGCTCAAGAGTCTGTGATCCTGCTCCAAACTAAAGATACTTTACTGATGTATAGGACACCTGTCACTATTACTAATGGTACTCAGAGTGACAGATGCTTGGTTTTGATTTCTCAGGCTGGTAAGGCCTTGCCTATTCCTGTCCTGATCAGTTCTTCCTTCTCTTGTCTTGGTTTTGGTTCTTTTGTGTTTTTTTACGTTTTAATTATTTCTTCTGCTATACGCTCTTTTTTTTTTTTAAATGTTGTCATTGATTTTAGAGAGAGAGGAAGGGAGAGGGAGAGAGGTAGAAACATGATGAGAGAGAAACATGGATCGGCTGCCTCCAGTTTGCCCCCTACTGGGGATGGAGGCAGCAACCCAGGCATGTGCCCTGACTGGGGATCAACCCAGTGACCCCTTTGTTCGTGGGCCGATGCTCAACCACTGAGCCACACCAGCTGGGCTTGGTTTTGATTCTTTCCTCCTCTCCCCACTTCAACTTTGGGTCTCATTTCCTCCAATGTCAAGTGGGGACAATATCTGCTGCCCTAAGTGGGCGTCTGTATGTGAACACACTGTCCGAGACCCAGAGTGGGTGCTCGGGGCTCCTGTCCTGGCCCACTAAACAGACCCACCTTCTCCTAAATTACCTTTACAGATCCAAAAGAGGTAATTCCAGAAATACTTCAGGAGGCGGAGCTGAGCATAATTCGCTATCAGAAGTGTAATGAGATACTCAAGAAAAAGACGGGAAGTTTCACTAACGTAGTCAAGGAAGGGACTGTCTGTGGTTACAGTAGCCTAGGAAAGGATTCCTGCCAGGTCAGTTCATGGGCCCTTGGCCACCTCTGCATTTTGATTGTCCCTTTGAAGTTTCTTCATTCCCAGGCAGCAGGAAGCTGCCTCATCTGCCAGCCCCTCCATTCACCCTTCATTCAAATGAAGGGGGTTCAATGGGACAAGCTGCTGAGGCTCTGCCAGGCTGGCCTGAGAGGAGCTGATGCTGCCTGGGGGGGGACAGGGAGGAGGGGAGGTTCAGGCAGGAAACACCAGTATTGCGAGGCCCATGTTTTGACTCCCTTCTATGTGATAGGCAAGGTAGCCAGGTAAGGACTTTATTTGTTATTGTTATATCAGAGTATGTACATTTTCTCTGTTTAAAGTCAATATTTTCTGCACACAATTTTTTGAGTATGTCTACATATTTTGTGTGCTAAAATTCTTAACTTTTAAATCTCCCTAGAAACCTGGGCCTGGAGGGTGCCTGGTGGAGCCCCACACGTGCCCGTCTCCCCAGTGCCTTGCAGGGCAGTCAGTTCTGATGCTGGTTCTCTTCCATGCCTGTTTCTTTCTTTCTGTTTCTGCAGGGTGATTCTGGGGGCCCCCTGGTCTGTGAATTTAATGAGACCTGGGTCCAGGTGGGGGTTGTGAGCTGGGGCATCGGCTGTGGTCGCAAAGATCATCCTGGAGTTTATACAGAAGTTAGTTTCTACAGGGACTGGCTCATGTATCAGATGACTGGGCCTTCCTCTGCAGACTCAGGAGGCCTCTTCATCCATCCTTTGTGTCTGGTGCTGCCCCTGGGCATCCTGGTGACCCTGTGATCACCACAGCACGCTCTCCTCCTGTTTCTGAGTCTCCCACGAGGCCTCTCTTCCCACCTCTGGCTCCTTCTCAGCACCCTGCCCTCACATTCCTGTTGGGACCCGTGGAGAGCCACACAACAGAGGGCAGAAGCAAGACTGCAGTCCCCAAAGTGTCCTGGCCTGGTGCTCCAGTCCACTACCTACAACTGCTGGGAGGGAGAGGTGAAACTGCGCCAGCTCGAGGGCCAGCCGACCTGCCAGGTGGAGCAGGTGCTGCATGGACAGCTTGGAGAACATCTACCAAGGAAGAGACATCATCAGCGGTGCACACCCTTAGACCTGGGTGGTTTCAGGCTCTCAGCTGACAGTTGGTCAAACCAGTCAGCTTGGTGATTGCCCAGAAAGAGTGAAGGAGGTGTCCCCCTGTCCCTGCCATGGTGTGATTTCCACAGGGCTCAGTTGTCTGGGGATAACCTCCCTGTACCCCAATGTGGATCCCTCTGTGATTGGCCAGCCTCTGCCGTGCAAGCCTTCCTGGATTCTAACCCAGTCTTGGAACTCCCTTCCTCAGTGCCCTGGTGGCTACATCCAGGCTCACCCCACGTGTTGAGACAAGAAGGAGCATGGAGATTTCTGACATCATTTGAATAAACGTTTGGAGGATGTCTTGTGTGTTCTGAAGCTCTGGTATCTTGGACATTGTGGGGCTGCATATAACATAGCCTGTTGTAGGTTTCCCATTTTGCTTAGGAACTATATAGGCTTCTTCCTAAGCTCTAGAGGGAGCGGTCAGTCCTCATCTGCTTAGACATGAGCCCAAGGAATGGTGTTAGCCAGTGGGATCCTGCTCCCTGTGCTCCTGTTGTTCTCATGCCTGCAGGGAGTTTTGTAGTCTAATTTAACAGCTTCTGCAGCTCGGGATAGAGCATGGAGAGAAACTGGACCTGGGAGCACAAGTGAAGCTGGGGCATGAGGAATATTCCTCCTCTTCCACCCCTTCTGCTTTCTGCTCACCCCCACTTGGTTAGCCAAGGTCGGCACTCCCCCAGGGAGGAGGGCACGAGTCCCTGTATTCGGATCAGTTCATTAGCCCATTCCAGGGCCCAGTGTCCCAGAGTCTCTCTGTCTAGCTGCTGATCAGATCCCTCTCAATCGTCTGTCCACTGCTCTCCCAGGGGCCAACATTTTCCTCCCAGATATCTGTGGGCTTCAGAGGACAGCCTGTGTCAGTCCCACGTGCTGCCCGAGGAAGGCTGGGGTTGGGAGACTGAGAGCTTACATCAAACCCAGTCTCTTAATACGTGTCCAACCAGCTGCTTCAAGAAGCCACTGAATATCCATCGGTTAACAAAGTCAGTTTACCTTCCTATTCCTATATGGGTCAGCAGGTAGCTTTTCTCCTCCTGGCTCCACTCAGCCCTGTGGTTCATGCTTTTCCTGCATCAGCACTCCCTGGAGGGCTCATTAAAATACAGACCAATGGTTCTACTCCCAGAGTTTCTAATCCTGTAGGTCTGGGTGGACCTGAGAATGTGCATCTCCAACAAGTTGCCAAGTGATGCCGCTGCTGCTCCGGGGACCATGCCTTGGGCATCACTGCTCTGCAGTAACACGGGCACAGAAGGCAGCCTCCTCCAGGCTGCCTTGGGGTGGAAGTGACACTCATCACCTCTACTCACCTCGTATTGGTGGGAGCTCACCTGAAACTCCCTTAGATGCCAGACTGGGGAATATGTTCGCCAGAGCTGGAGACCCTCCACACCGGACAAGAGAAGCAGGAATCTTGGAGGTCACCTCCCAATCTCCGCCACACGCCCAGATTCAAAGACCGCATCCTTCTGCAAAGAGCCCGTGAAAGCCCCAGGCCTGCATCTCTTGAAGCTGCACCATCCAGCTGGTGGGCTGTGGAAGAGGAGGCGTGCCTTTCCTTTAGACTCCCCAAGACTCCTTGACCCAGTCTTAGGTCCAGCTCCAACGTCACTTTCCCTGAGACACCTTCCCCGACCCCCTAGCCTTACTTACTGTTCTTCTCTTCTGCTTCTGCAGCTTTCCAGCTTCTCCAGTCAATATAAATCGGGAAACTCTCCCATGCACCAAGCCCAGGGACCAAGGGTGCAGTCAGAGGCTGGGTGACAAGGTGCCATGGCTGGTCCAGAGATGTGGCTGTGCCTTCACAGGCCAGGCTCTGGGGGGCGCTGTCACCCATTGAAGGCGCTCATGGGGCTGGCCCCTAGGGAGGCAACCACCGATCCGGGGCTCCGAGGTCATCTTCCGGGAACTGGCACGAGGTGGGGGCGCAGGGGGGTGTCCAGGGCTCCAGGGGCGCCGTAGGGATGCGGGGGCCTCGCGCCTGGAAGTCGACAGGTAACGTGCCCGAGGCGCGCCCTGCGCCCGCGGTGCCCTGGCGCGTGGGGGCGCCTGCGCGTCCCTGCCGTCGCCAGGTGACGCCTCCGGGGCCA